TTTTGCTTTATGGAAAACGTCCATACGTCTTCAATGACATATTCTCTTTCCTTTTCCAAGCCAGCAAGCCCACACTCATCACGAACCACGAATTCCAGCATAGCCCATCTTCATGACACACACATGTACTACCTCTTGTAGTACTTCACGAACTAATACAGAACACCTCTGCAAATTGCATCTTCAGAATGTTGATGAATAATTTTAAAAAAAATTATAAAATAAATCTAAAATTCTAAATGTAAAACATTAACGCCAAAAACAAGTTCAATGACGTACTTCGCCTATCACAAACGACATTTAGATATTAATTTTACTCAGGGCAAAAATATTTATACTAAATATCAAACTTATAGTAAAACATATAACATCACACTGAGATCAAAATATACACCCTAAAAATATAATCACTTTGACAATTAACAAATAGAAGATCTTATTTGGATTTAACGTCAAAAAAATAATCAAGAAATCGATGTACCATAGTATTATATTAATGCCAATTTTTAAAAAAGTATTTGCAAAAAAAAGGTTGTAAAGTATCGGAGGAATTATAAAGTGCAAAAACATTTTGGTTCTGTAAAATCAGTATATCAAGTTACAAAAAAAACTTAGTATATACCAATCAAGTTATAAATATAAGTTTACGTTTCGTTCCATTTGAATACCCAGATGATTTATTTGTACTAGATCTGTTGGCCGCGCTACGCGCGGCTAATCTTATAAATAAAATTTCCAATTGTTTATATAGAAAATATATTTTATAATTAAAGTTATACTTAAAAACAGAAAAATAGAATGTTAAATTAAATATAGAAAAATAACGATTAACAAAATTATTGTAGTTAATGCAAGTAAGAGTTTGATAAGTAATACTAATAATGGACAATTTGTTTTTACAAAATATAGTTTTTCTAGTTTTTTTTAACAGAACCCTCATTTTATTTTTGGTATAAATAATTTACATAATAATTACTGTAATATTTTAATCTGTAGCTTTATATTTTCTATCTTCAAAATGTTGTTAGAAAATAATCACTATCAAAATCTGAAAATTAAGTATAGAAAATGAGTTGACTTTTATTTAAATTTAAATGATATTATGTAAATTTAAGATTGTATATATTTTGTTGTTATAAATAATGTTTATTTATTCTATTTATTTATAAACTGGATGATATTAATTTATCATTGTCATCAATGTTTTCAATATCAAATCGAACATTTACTTGACATTGTAGTAACACCGGTCTCACTGGGTTGTAAATTTAATTTAATTTTAAGTTAAGTATCTATATATATGTATAACTATAAAATTGTTTTTATAAGTCTTTTTATCATTGTTTGAAGCTAAAATGATATGGAAATAAAATGAAAACTTCAAAAATAATATAAAATATAATGAAAATAATTTATTTAAATAGATATTAAAAACAATACAGGTTTCTATGAAAGTTTTTTTTTAATTACATTTTTAACTTGAATTTGGAAAAAAAATCAGCGTTTAATGTCAAACTGGACCATTGGTTTTTAGCGAGTAACCGGTTCTTAAACCGAATTGGTTGGTTTTTAGCACAACGCAAAATTGTTTAGAAGAGAGAGAGAGTCATGATCCAACCAGCCGGTTCTGTTTTTAAAACACTTCTTGTCACAGATCATCACTTTTAATAACAAACAATAAAATAATTTAGTAGACATATTTTTATTATGAAATTATGTCAAAAACCATACACATATTTAATTGAAGTTGTTATTTATTGTTTAACCATTTAAAAAATAATAATTTCCATCTTAGTTTTTTTTTCTAAAGTTTCCAAAGACTATGCAATATGAACCAAATTTTATGCATGTAATAGATCAAAATAATTCTTTATAACAAAGACATAGAAATTTGTATGACCACCATAATTATACATTTAAGAAAATATAGTCATTTGAACTTGAGAAAATGAATATTTTTTTGTTTAAAATGAAATGATAATGTAGTATATAAATTTCCGTGGTTGAGCTTTTTGACTCAACTTGCATAATGTCTATGTTTTGTTACCAACTTATATATTTAAATAACTGGTTGAAATAATAATAAATAAATATTAGTCAATATTTTTTTTATGTCCTATAATATTTGGTTTCTTTAGGTCTAATACCCAAGATGGTGTCCATCTCAACATCTAGAGTGGTGAATAGTTCTAAGGTTTCATGTATCACAAGTCTTCTCTATTTTCTCATATCTTCTATTTCCTCTAACTTCTTTCTTTTTCTGGTTATTTTCTTTTTTTTTTTTAATTAAATAACATCAAATGTCTATCAGCACATGAAAATATCTTGTAATTCTTTTGTTAGTTCTCATTTGAAACTTTGAAATTTTTTTATGGAGTTTTTAAAGTTAGCTCTTACTAATAGTTTTCTGCGAGTATTAATTTTTTATTTTATTCAAATTAATTTAAAAACATATCGCATATGGTTAATTAATATAAATTCTTAATCTTTATATATTTTAGGATAAATCTTCTTCACAAACATGAATTTATTTTCCAATTGTCAATGTTTAATAATTTTATAAAAATACTTATTCATCCTATTAATGAGTCCCACTAAATTTGCAACCTTCATTTATTTATAACAAACTAAACTTTCATTTTTATTGCATGTTTTATTTCGTCTTTGTAATAAGGTATAAGTTTCCGCTTAGTTCATTTTTTTATTGATTTAGAACTTTATATTTGTATAATGTAAATTTTGCCATTATATTTCCAATATTTTTTCTATATGTTTAATTATATTCAGTTTTTTGTTATTATTGTCTTCAATCCTTTTCTTATCCATATTTTACATTCTTGTGGCACATTTATATTAATATTGATTATATATGTTTAAGAAATCATCTTTTTTGTTAGTTGAAATTTTAAATAATTTCCAAAAAAAATTCTAAATTTCAAATTTATTTATAGGGAAGTCCTTTATTAAAAGAATTAACTTAGATATTAAACATCTAGTATATTGATTTTAACAATTTATAAGTTTTTTTCTGTTTGATAATTTTTTATGCTTAGTTTCCAAGCTTAGGTATAAATATATATTTTTAGAAAAGGCTGTGTACTTTACTAATCCCTCTTTATATATTTCTCAACTGTGAAAATAGAAGAACTGTTATCTTGTGATCAATAAACATATAACTGTTGATTTTGTTGTTTTAGCATCAGCATTGCCAACATAAGTGTAAGCCAAAATTTCGTTTGCTTATGAAAATCTCCTAGCATTGAAAAAGTCTTAGCAGTGGGGAGCTTTTGTGGACCTTGTACCTCTTTCTTGTCTAGCCGCAGGAATTTTTCATGCTCTCTACACCGACTGAAAAACAAACAGATTCTCAAATTTGTTTTCATTGCTGAAAAAAAAACATAAACTCCTTTTACTTACAGATGCAGAGGCCAAAATGCCGAGTACATGGCTAAGTTTGCAAAGATCATCTTGTTGTTCGAGAACTCTAGCTCTAGCATGTTCATGTGCTTCTCTGGCAGTTGGTATGATGATCTCTTGCAGCGCCTTATCCTCTTCACCACCTTTTACATCCTTAATCCTTGTAAGGTCCTCCCCTTATTTCTCTTCCTCTTTCTACATATATAAATTTCAAAACACATCAAACAGAGTTCTCTAACTTCCTCAAGCAAAGAATAACACAATACAATCAATGGTTTAATATTAACACCAACAGTACTCTAATTATAAATGATATTATTTATTTTTGATTAACTATTTTTTTATAATTTTAACAAATCAAAACTTAATAATCACAATTAATTTATTTAAAGTTGATAATTCACAGTTATAAACTAATAAAATATATTGAAAATGTAAAAAATATCTTTTTGAAACATTTTTTTTTCTCTAAAACATTGATAACTTTGAAAAAGAGGGAATATATATATATATATATATATATATATATATATCTTATAATATTAGCAATTTTTGACATGATATGCCACAACGTTTGATTATGTGATTTCTAGGTTTGTTACTTGAGTGAGGAGAAAAACTTGTATTGTTATGGCTTGTAATCGAATAAACCAAACCATTAAAAACCCATTCTAATATGTTTAGAAATTATACAAAATAATTTTTCTATCAATGGATCATATGTATGAACAATTAATTTTAAGACTTGTTTTTTAGTGCAGGGGTGTTTAATTTATTGGTGTCTTATAAACAAACAACTTTTCATGTTTTTTTATTCGATTTTAAGCTTAATCTGAAAATCATAAACTCTGTCAATGATTTGTTAGTTTTATTTTTTAGTTATTTGGAGTTGATTAAGTAATAGAGAGTTCACGTTACACAGAGAATGATGATCTCAGAGACGAGTTTTAAATCAAGGTCCTTATTCCAAACATATTTTTTTTAACCAAAAATGGAAAGCCCGAAGGCATATATATTTGCATTTGACCCTGATTATAAACAAAGTGGTATATTTCAAGTTTCCTCTTAACACAGGCGTATTAGCTATGAGAATAAGAAAAAATAAAGTGACTACAGGAATGATAAACAAAGCTGCAGTACGTCTGCGGAGAGTTAAGAACTTTGTAAGTCATTTCCTACTACATCATGGCAATAGCTGCCTAGGAAAAAAAGATGAGTACAATAGTTTGAGACCAAAAGTAAGAAAGCTACAAAGGATCAAAAATTAGATTACATACCTCATTTGTTTCCTATCATCCGCTCAGTGATGTTACTAATGTGATCTTGAACACGAAGCTGATGCACATGAGTAAGCCGCGATTCCTGTCATATATCATCACCTTAAGTGTTTAAGTATTTTGTTTAAAAGAAACGTATTGTTAAATCAAGGAAGACAAACTTAATTGAAGCTTATTATGATGGGAATCTGGGATTAAGACAAACAATAGAAGCAATTTCAAAACCATTTAGAAAATAAACATGTTCTATGTTCACATGAGACTGATATATTAATTGTTCTTTTAGCTGGTTACAAAACGGAATTGTCAAGGGTACATGTGAGGATGTTCCATGCGTCCAGGACTATCATTATTCTCTAAAAGACCTACGTTTATGTTAAACCAAACTATAGTTGAGGAGCTTACTATAGTAGGAAAATTGGAGGTTTTGGGATAGAAACCTCACTTGCCGTCTTTTCTTTTTGAGGTACCTGCAGGAGATACCGAAGTGGGTGACTTCTTCATCTGTAGAAGGGAATACAGCAATAATATATATTTGAATACATAGAGTGCAGCACCAAACCAAACAATGTTGAGTTAAAAAAAAATTTTAAAGGACAGGTGTTTTGTTCGTGTACCTTGATTTTGCGCTTGAAATTTTGCTTGCTCTTATTGTTCCTGTGTACAGGGAACTTCACATGTTGATCCTTTCAGTTACAACTAACAATAATCCTATCCAATGGAGATTGAAAATAACATCTATGTCACCTTCATTAAAGGCTCGTCGCAAGAGATCATTGTTAAAGAAGCTGGGAGTTGATCAACGACTAAGACAGCCTCTTCAAGAGCTTTGAATAGATCTCCTTCTCCTATCCCATATTGACACAAATCAAAGCAAGAGGAAGTAACAGTGTAAATCGAACCACCTTGAGATCCACCACAGAAACCTATTTAGCACATCAAAGACATAGAAACAAACATCTTGAAGTTGCAGAGATACACAAACCTGGTTAGCAACAGCCTTGGACATCGTGGGGAATTCCTTCTTCAGGATGGACTTGTTGACAGAGATCTTAGGCTTCGTCTTGGTGGTGGCGAGGACAACACCTTGTTCCATCACATTTCTGTAACCCTGTTTGATTAATTTTTTTTATTTAGAAATGTATTATAACTAATAAACATGGTATATTAAATCAATATTCGTGGCTCACCTCATGGCCCAATCGGATCAGCTGGTAGTATTGAGCGATGACTTGACTCGAACCTGTGTTTAATCATGAAAATAATATCAACAAAAAATATATAGAAAAATGAAAGTACTATTTTAGATTATGAGCTTCTAATAGTAACACTGGAGTGGTGATTAAGAAAATTTCAGAGATCAATATCAAAGTACGTTACTTTTGGAGAAGTTGAGTGTGAAAGTGGGTTGGTCAGCACCAAGGTAGTTGATATGAAAGATGAGTTCATCAGGCAAATCCTCTTTGTTTCTCCAAACCACCCAGCCAATCCCTGCGTACACAAGTCCATACTTGTGAGTTGTGACCACTCACATTTATACTCTTCACCTGTGGAAGTCTAAAGTCCCATTCCAGTTCCGGATACAAAAACGGTGCTATGAATCCTCCACTTGCTGCATCCACATGGATCGGTATATCCAATCTATCAAAAACATAAATATATTAGTTATACAGGATTATTTATTGTATAGTGTGTAATAATCCCTTGATATAATGAAGGCTATATAGTTACCAAGTTTCTTTTTTCTTCAGGACCAAGAGATCGTTCAAGAGTTTGACATCTTCAAATTCTCCATTGAGAGTGGAACCAAGAATGGCCGCAACACATATAGTGTTCTCATCAACCATCTCAACAGCTTGCTCCGGGTCCATCACATAGTATCCTTCTCTTAGTTTCACTTCCTTAAGCTCAACCTCAATATACCTAGCAAATTTCTCCCAGCACACCTAATTTGATTCATTATTGTAAGAAATTTTGATCAAAAACACAAAAAAAATATTATGATTATTAAACTTGAAGAATCATTAATTACTTGAACATTGGCTCAATTGACAATGTTGGGTTTATCGAAGGGTTTGCCTTCGGCTCTACGCTTGTACTGCCATTTACGCTTAAAGGCCAAACCAGCCAACAGTATGGCCTCCGATGATCCGACAGTACCTACTCCGACGGCCGTATCCGTCTCTCCCAACGGAGCGTTGAATAGATGTGCAACCATGTTCACACATCGGTTCTGTTTTCATCAATAGTACCAAAAAGAAGGATTAGGGAAAAAGAAGGTAACATGTCACCATATAGTATTCTACATTACTAACTACTAAGGATATATCAAAAACCTAAAAACAGCAATAAAAGTACATCATATATCACAATATCATCCGATATAGAGGTCTATTTAACCTCAATTTTGAAACGATGAACAGATCTATGAAACGATGAACAAATCCTCTCTCAGAAAAAAAATTGAGAGAGAGGATCTATAAGCTCACCGTAAAAATTAGGAGAGAAAGAGAGAGTGAGAGAGAGAGAGAGAGAGAGCTAGGTTCGTGTTTCACAGTGAGAATATGAATGGGGAATGGATCGAGATGAGAGGAGGCAGAGACGGGAAGGAGGGGATGAGAGACGAGTTGGTGACGTGGACGAAAACTGTCTCTCTATTGGACGAATATTTCTGCCCACGTGGACAGGCTCATTTGGCTTTATTTGCTACTTTTATTCATAGTAGATTCTTCACTTCACTTTGGAAATAAATCTGAATCTTTTCATCAAAATATCCATTATTCTCCAATTTTTATAAATCTCTAAATTCTTAAATATATAGCTAAATGCTCGTTTGATTCGGTTTGTAAATGAAAAAAAAAATACGAAATTGAAATGAGTAAGTAAATGGCAAGGAGAATGGGACATACAGTAAGTAAATTGAAGAATGTTAGTTGGTATGTCCGGAAGTACTCGTCGCATTCCTGTGAGAATCAGAATTTTAATATAATTGTTGATAAGAAAAAAGAATTTTAATATATTTATTTATTGAAAGCATTATTACTACATATGTGTATGTATGCATGTATAGGTTTGATGATTGAGCGCACGTGTGGCAACTGGTATCCACGTACCCATGTCTTTATGTACTGAAGTTGACCTCATTGTCTCCTCTCTCTGTCACCCTTATCCTTCACGGACTTTCTTATAGTCTCTATTGATTACTCTGGTTTAGTTTGTCTTCGGTTTTAACCGGACAAAGGTTTCATTTTCTTTCTTTCTTCGGCTGCTTAACTATTTAAAACTACAAGCAGAGAACATATAAAACCCGTGTACAAAAAAAAAGAGAACATATAAAACCAATACCATTACTGTACTTAAACTTATGCTATTATTGCCTTCATTGTATTGTATCACATCCAAATTCAAATCCGCATATTATATTATTTACAAAATAACATATACTATTCATTAAAAAAACTAACATAAAATAAAGACATAAGTCTTTACAGTTGAATGTGGAAAAACATGCATTTGTACTCGTGTTTGTCTTTCTCAATTTTCTTTACTCTTTTCGTGAAAGTAATACCTCGTTATATAGTAGCGTCGTATATATGAAAATACTTCTGAAAATAATAGTAATCAGTAATGAAACTGAATTCTAATGTCGAACCGAAATGCGGAAGGTTCATTTAATGCATTGTTTAGCCATTTTTGAGCAAAATGTCAAAAAGTCAAAAAGAGAAGTTTCAATTCATATTTGCAACTCGATTTGTATTTCACTTCTTTCATTGTTTTGTACACTACCACACTGGTAGTGACTAGTTAGTAGCCCATTGCCTATTCTGATTTGCAATATATCAGATTTGTTTTCAAAGTACTAAGCCTAGATTCCACGTTATCCCATGTGCATCTCAACTGAACTTGGATTTAGTTTTTTTGTCAATAAAAATACCGACTCTTCTCATCAAAATCTAAAGTTAGATCACTTATTCCGCCAGTTTCATATGATATTTTTCCCTTAAATGGTAATAGTTAGATAAATATACTAGGTATGTTGATTTTAAATAAAAGCACTGTATTCTTTAAACCTCAAATAAAATATGATCTCCGGGTATTGAAATGTCAGCCTTTTCGTTGCACATTTGCATCAGTAGCTACAAACTCGATAAATTAGTTTTCAACATTTAATTTATCTGCACTAGAATATACGTAGGGAAGTAGGAAGAGAAGCATGTTATTTTGCACATACTCTTCAAGTGAAAATTATTATAATAAATTGGCTTACATGTGAAATTTGGTACGCAGTTATAAAGTCAATATTGGACTGAAAAATCACAAGGCTCGAGACATTTTCAATCAGGGAGACTTGACTAAGCACATCAAATTGGCCAGGGCCCAGGGTGCGATGCGCAGGTGCACATGGGTTGAATGGTAAACACCAAAACATGTGGTATAAAATTAACGGAGAAGAAGAAACAAATATGATTAGTATAAATCAAGTAGATTACGAGGAAACAAAACCACTTGCGAAGATATATTACAAAGTATGGTTTGATGTGAAACAATTTGGCTTAATAACTGTAGATTCCCCGAATCTACATATTTATTTTGAAGGAATATTTGTCATGTATATTCCTGAAATTCTCCCAAACTAATCATTAAATAGTCATCTCAAAATCTTTGACTCCACACCTACAGTCAAAAACCCAAAGTAGGAGGAATATATTACGTGGATCTAAACATAGATTAGTAATATGATAAGAAACCTTTTCAAAGGAAACAAAAGGCAAAGTTGAAGATGACTAAATTGGTACAACATTTCGTTGTAAGCTAAAAGTCCAAGCCTAATGGCTAAGCACTAATCCTACAGTGTGACACATGGATTTTACAAATATAATATAATCGCTGCAACAAAATTTTAATTATAATTCTCTCAAAACAAATGATAAGATACGGTTGAATTTTAAACCAATATGTATAATATGGTGGCTTTAGCTTTCCTTGGGGTCTGCGTTGCATGGACAATAACGGGCCATAACGAATCTGTGGGCTTCAACTCGATGATGATTGAAATTTGTAAAACTTTATATAATATTCTATGTACAGATTTGATGTATTACAAGCTGGCAACAATGAAACTGTCATGGATTTTTTCGAATGATAACGAAATATAGCATATCTATCTATCTATATATATAAAATAATGTTCACTCCCTCATGGGAGTGCCACGTCATTAAATGGAGGGAGAAGAACTTGCCACATCAGAACTGTACTTAACGCTAAAAGTTTTGTTTGCTTGCTTAAGCGGATCACGTAACTTTCTTAAGTTGTGGCCCAATTTATTGTCCATTTCGAACATATTATAAAGACTCACCAATCCTTTGAAGCCCAGATTTCTTCTTTCTTTTTCTTACATTTGTTTTCTCAAATCCCTAAATTTTCACCAACGATAGCAGAGCCGTTATGTAAACGTATTTCTCCATCACTGAAACGTTGACAATACGTTTCTCCATTACATCATTCCGAATTTCCGACTATCTCTCCAACTTCCTCAAATTCAATAACCCCTACCCTTATCACCTTTGCAAATCCCTAATTCGTGATACTATATATATAGGGCTGTAGATCTCACCAAAGCTCACTCAACATCCAATTTTACTATATACAATCAATCAAAAAGAAGCTTAGCTATGCTTACCCGGTTTTGTTAAGTAACATCAATGGCGGGTGTAAAAGCTCCAACTTCGAGAAAGATGAGTCAATCAGCATTCCGAAAGTGTCCCGGAGTTTGAATCAAACAGTTCAAGTTCTCCAATAACATTAGTTTCGTATCACTACATTAATGTGGAGATCTAGGAAAGAAAAAAAAAGTTTAATGTCTTTGATGCTAAATCCGAGGTGACAAAGAGCGTTGCGGATGCTAGGGAGATTTTGAAGTCAAGAACAGAAATGACCATAATCGAATGTAGAAGCTGAGTAAACCAAGAGGCTTCTCGGAGATTTTGATTTGAATTTGAAAATGAAGCTGCCGAGATTCTTCCGGAAGAGGAGCAACGAACTCAGGAATAAAGAAAGGTTTCGTCTTAGATTTGCAAAGGACTAATATCGAGCCGCCGTTGCTTCCGTTGAAAGCAATGCGTAGACTGCTTCGTTTTCTAATTCAAAAGGTTGTCGTCACGTGCTAAGACAAGCGCTTAGGGCAACATTATCAATGAAACTTCTTAATGTGTCCTTAGCATATTTTATTAATATTTTTAAGTTTAGAATCAAAGTTAAGGACTTTTCTAAATTTCTAGATTATTGGTGGGACTTGTCCAGATTTAGATGAATCCTTCTTTGCATCGATGAATTTGAAGGACCAACGATCAAGGGTGAACGCGGTCGAACTTTGCGTTCACGAATTCTTCTTTGCATTGATGAACTTTGCGTTTTCCACCGATGACAGGACAGGGTTGCAACGACCAATGGTGATTCCTCCATCGATGAATTTGAAGAAACAGAGGAAGAAGAGGAAGAAGAGGACATAGAGGAAACAATAGAGAGGAAGAGATGAAGAGAAGAAGACTTTGTTTTTTTTTTAACGCTATTGCTCGACACGTGTCCTTAAGGACATGCCACAAAACATCTTAATTAAGAGGTGTCCTTGATATAATTGGCTATTTTAGATTTATTTTTAAGCAATTAAATGCTAAGGACTTTTGTAAGAAGTACCGTTAATGATGCCCTTATGTTCTTGGTACTCAACCATTACACTAACAACGTCATTTGAAAGTGTCGTGTAAGATCTAATAATTGGGTCTTGAAGACTTCTGAACTTCTCTTACAATCTATAAAAAAGTTTTCACACATACATGTATAGGTTTGAATTTGACCCAAAAAAAAATATATGCATAGTTTGAAATAATTATGAAACTTTATTTATCATCTTTCTAGAACTAACATACATATGAATAAATGAATGTAAGAATATATTTGTAAAAATTAATGAATATCATTTATTTTGAAAATATTAATTATTTTATTCGGATAACATGTTTTATTTGATCTTAAATATAATAACATTATAATAATGAAATAAATAGGCATATTATTTTACTATAATTAACATTAGGTTGTCTTGATGACTATATAACTAAATATAATTTATTATAATAATTAGCAATTATTACATTAATATTTAAAGGAAATATATAAATAAAAATGTAACTGGACTCAAAAACCCAACATATAAAAAGAAAAACATTTGTATTTTCTATGTTAGCACAATAAATTAAAAAATTTAAAATCAATTTATTAACTATCAGATTAGAAAAAATATT